GCAGATTGTTGCTGCAGCCTTCAATCATTTCAGAAAAATACCTTTCTCTCGTACTACGTAGCACCCGGTTAAACTCGCACAACTTATCTTTGAAGATCTCGTAAAAATCTACCCGGAGGTTGGACTTGCGCCACTTCCGCTCGGCCCTCCGGCACTTTCTCTTTTGTGCCCTGACCGAGTCTGCTTTAGCCCACGGCGCCTTCTGCTTATTTTTCACTATTTTAACCTTCACAGGGGCAACGGTATCCAGAACATTCAAAACACTAGAGGTGACAGAGTTAAACAGTTCATATACAGTAGAATACGATGCATTCTCAAAGTTTATCATTCCCATAAATAGTTCACTCGTATTTTCATTTATGTGTCTTCTTCGAACAGTTGCAGAGTCCACTGGTGGTTTGTTAGTGAAACACATGTCAAAAAATACACAGAAATGATCCGAAAGAGCAACATCGACCACGTTTACATTAGAAATATTCACCCCTTTAGTAACTAACAGGTCTAGAGTGTGCCCTCTGCTGTGGGTGGGGCCACTTACGTGCTGAGTGAGATCAAAGGATTCAAGTACAGAACTCAGCTCATTTGCATTTCTGTCATCAACATTATCCACATGAATATTAAAATCGCCTGTAATAACCAAACTATCAAAATCTGTGCATACAACTGAAAGCAACTCGGTAAAATTATCAATAAAACTGTGACATGACTGCGGTGGCTTGTATAGGACAATGAAGAGTATTGGAGGAGATTGTTTTTGTTGTATTTCAAAAGACACATATTCAAATGACGAAAACTTCCCAAGAGACATTCTATGGGAGACAAAGTGGTCTCTGAAAATGGCAGCTAAGCCTCCTCCTTTTTTGTTTTCCCGTATTTCAGATTCAAACTTGAAATTTGGTGGTGATGCTTCTATTAAAACTGCATTTCCTGTAATACGAAAATAAAGTCAGTTAGTGCAGCTTTAACAAGGGGAGGAGTTAACTTCTTTTGCAGATTGAAACGATTGGATCTGAGTTTACCGTGACGTATGTAATGCGCCCGAGTGAGTTGTTAGCATTTAGCCTAGCCATCTCCGCTAACGGAGCCCGTGGGGAGTAGCACCACAATATTTGCCAGCAATTACATTCGCTAACCATTGCTCTTGCTCCAGTTTCAATTTCTTGATAGAACCAGACCAGATTACTTTACTATCGCATTCTTTGCCATTACCAAACTACAACCTGCCCGTTCGGCGCAAACTTTTGACGTCACCCACATCTAACTACAACACCCACCTCCCGCGCTCTCTGATTGGTCGGTTGGACTTTCACCGATTGTAATCGCAAACACAGGGACCAGACCCAGACGTTACATGCATGAAATGATGATTGAGTGGAGTGTACGGATGGATAAGGCCAGGATAGTATTTTCACATTATACTCCATCATCAGTGGTGTCAATGCCTCTTATTTTTTACATCTATTATTATTTTCCAGATAGTAATTGTATACTTATTATTGAGGCTAGAGTTAGAGATTTTGTTTTCTTTTAATTACTATAGCTATTGTTCACTTACGTGTGCTCCTCTTTCCTACTGTTCTATAATTTGTGATGCAACACCGAAATTTCCCCACTGTGGGACAATTAAAGGATCTCTTAATCTTAATGTGGACCAACACTGGGTTGACAGTAAAAGTGGAGCCTTTTATCAAAACCTTTGACAAACTCAAAGCAGGTGATGCTAACTGATGCTCATGTACAAATTGCTGCCCTTATGTCTAAGGATTAGTTTATGAGTGTTTATTTTTAATTACAGCTTGTTACAAGATTATTTTGTTGTGTTCTGACTAGGGGTGGGAACCTCACAGTACGTCACGATACAATGTGCGATACAAAGCTCACAATAACGATTATCTCACGATATGACGATGCAGCAAATATTGATATATTGGTCAAGAAAGCAAGGGCGACAGTATCTCAGTTGGTAGAGCATTGGCCTTGAGGCCAGAAGGTCGTGGGTTCATTTCCCACCTCTGCACCTTCTCCACCGACTCCCACTGATGACTGCTGTCGTTGTGTCCTTGGGCAAGACACTTAACCCCACTTTGCCCAAAGCCCCCACTGAAAGATCAAGGCTATGCTCACACTCAGAGAGCAGCCGTCCTCCTGTGGACTCACCACCTGCAGAGGGTCAGTGAGGGGCTGGTGCTATGAGACTTGGGTGGCATCTCTGACTGCCACCCCCCTGACCCAGAAATGGATTAAAGGGTAGAAAATGGATGGATGGATGGTCAAGCATATACCGACGATAATATATTTCTTATATTTATGGCATAAATTAAGTAAAAAAAATACTTTATTTTAAGATAAATTGATAAAATGTCATGAGTAACATTAACGTGAACAAGAAAACAGGCCTTTCAACCTGCACATGAGAGTAAAATCTTACTTAATCTGTCTTACATCCAATAAAATAAATATTAACATTCTACAGAAATTGTAGAATGCATAATGTAGCCATATATTAAGTATCAATACTTTTTTTTTCAAATATTTTAAAAAAAACTTAGCAAAAGCATATCAATTATCGATTGCGTGAAAAAATATCCCGATATATCACCATAATGATATATTGTCACACTCCTAGTTCTGACCGACTCAAGAAAAGATAACAGGGTATTATCCATTCACTCCATGTCTGGCATATCTCAAAAAAAATCTAACAAAAAAGTTTGTGCTGTGTGTTGAATTTTGTTATATTGTCTATAACCCAGGTCTGGTAAGACTTTTGTTTTTATAACTTTGTTTGGTGTCTTTTTACTAATGTCTACACTAATGATTTTTAGACATGAACGAGTCTACAGCAAAAAGAGCACACTGTGAGTCTAAAGACTACAGCTCTATCCCAGACCAGCGCCTCAGCTCAGCCGGGGGACTCCCAAGATCCGAGGGCCCTGGGGCTTCTGTCCGGCATCCTCCCTCCTCCTGCAGCTGAACTGGCGCAGACACAACTATGCAGAGGACAGGTAGTGATGATAATCAAACGGGGAAAAAGTCTCAATGATATAAAATATATTTTTCTTTCTTTTTGTAGGACTTGATGGTCCCTAAACAGAGGCTCAAAGATGGACACACTCTAAGAAATAAGGTGCTGGATTTAATTGATAAAGTTATGGCAGAATTTTCCACAAAACTCAGTCAATTGAATGTGAAATATCAGTATTATCTGCAGACTATGATCAGAAGGAACATTGTTATTTAAATGCAACAGCTTTGCGTGATTACATTCTAATGAATGCTGTTAAATGGTTATGTTAGATTTAATTAACATGAATTTGGATTTAAGTCCATCACTTGCATTGTACTTTGGATTTAATTAACAGTATTAGTTATGATTTAATTAATATAATCAATTATGATTTAGTAACAATGGGCCTCATTCACGAACGGTTCTTAGGAACAGATTTGTACGTAAATCCTACTTACGAGGTTTTTACGAAGAAAGTGGCATTCACGAATTTTTCTCGTAACCAGAATTTCTCTTGGGCAAGTACAAATCCTACGAGTCCTCTGGAGCACTCGTACGCATTCAGTGCCGACATGTTCACACGCCGGGGTTGTCCTCTTTGGTGAAGTTTAATAAAAATACAACATTCCAGTGATATGTCCGTCATATTGATGTATGTATTTAATCTATTATTTCCTTTTTGTGGTTACATATTATTTTTCATATTCATTTTCAAATTAAATGTGCCAACGCTTTTCAAAATACATTGGAAATCATGCCGTCAATTAGTGACCCCACCCTATTTATAGGGGGCATTTGTCCATCCAGGGGCCACAGAACAATGGCATATTTACTGCTGCTGCTGCGGATCGTGCCCTGCGGAGGGAACGGATCTTTCAGGATCATGTTGATCTTTTTACAGAGAGCGATGAATACCTCTTTGGACGCTTTAGGCTCCCACGAGCGGTACTCATCGAACTTTGCCATGATTTAGAGCCAGCACTTAGGAGCCACACACATCGGTCCAACCCTGTCCCCCCACACGTGCAGGTACTATCGACCCTCGGGTTCTTGGCCACTGGAACCTTTCAACGGGAGCTTGGGGACAGGGTGGGCATATCACAGCCATCCATCAGCCGCGCTCTCCCTCGAGTTGTGGATGCAATCATTCAACTGGCCCCACAATACATTAAATTCCCGTACTCAGCAGAGGAGCAAGTCTCTGTGAAAATGGGCTTTCATCTGATTGCTGGTCTCCCAAATACAATTGGCGCAATAGACTGCACACACGTGCGCATCAAGGCACCCTCTCCAGACTCCTTCCCATACCTCAACCGCAAACAGTTCCACTCCATAAATGTACAACTCATCTGCGACTCTAATAACCACCTCCTGAATGTAGTTTCCCGGTTCCCAGGAGGAGCACACGACAGCTCCGTGGGAACACGCCTTGAACAAGGAGCGGTTGATGACGCATGGCTCATTGGTAAGCATATTTTAATTACAATTTCCAACGAGTGTAATATCCTCATCATTTCCTTTAGGCGATCGAGGATATGCCCTGGCCCCTTGGCTGATACCACTGACAAACCCTCAGACTCCTCAGGAGGTGTCATATAATGACAAGCATCATTGAACGCACCATCGGCATACTGAAGGGACGCTGGATGTGTTTGGACACAGCAGGTGGAAAATTGCTGTATAAACCAGAGAAGGTAAGGCAACTGATTATTTTATTTACCCATTACGGGAATCACCTAGTTTAGATTTATTTAAATTCCTTGCAGCTAATTTTATGGCTCTCCCTCACCATTACAGGTCTGTGGGATAATCATGGCCTGACACCGTCAGGATGTGCGCCCTGATGCAATGCTGGGACCAGACTGCAGGCACGCCGTTCATGTTAGAGAGCAGTTAATTGCCCGTTTGTAAATAAAGTGTAAATATTATGTTGAATATAAGTCCACTGTGATTCACTTCAAATATTAAGACAGACCAGTTCCAGTGCACACCTTCATTTATTTGTGAGCTGCTTATGCAAATCTTTGAGCGTCTGAGATATGGTTCCCAGTGTGGACGCAATCTTCTCCAGGGACTCGGCAATTTTCTCCTGATTCTGAAGAACCGCGTCCGAGAGCAAGCGTGGACGTGGAGAGGCACGAGTGCGGGTGGATCTGCTACAGGAGGGCTCTGTCGGTTCTGGATCGGGGTCTCTCTGCGGGACTTCATCTGTGATTAAAGGAAATACATAAATTAATTACAACTCAAGCCAAGGTATATATTGAATTAACATAGGGAAAAGGGGTAGGATTAAATAAGCTTGGTTTCTGCCTACTCCTTTTGAACGTGAATAAGTTCTTTATTTTCTTTGTTTTGTTCTGTCTTTTTTTTCTTATACATTTATTCGATGTTCAAATAAACACAATTAATAAAAAAATAAAAGGTTGCAACCCCAGTCCAAAAAAGGCCTTATTTGGGTTACACACTATGGTAGACTCCACCCTTACCGAGCACACGCTTTAAGTATAGAAATAAAAATAGAAAAAAGGCCTGAATCAAAACATATTCAAACAATTTACCTTCAGATTCAACTGGAAAGACAGCGGCACAGGGAGGGGATGAACGCGTTGCATCTGGGCCCAGGTCTGTGTCCAGTGACTCAGTTGATGGTACACCTGAAAAGTGAGAATATTAATTAATGATTAAATACAGTGACCTTGATTGTTCACATAGCCTACCTGAGAGTGCCGTCTCCCCGATGATGGCCCCAATGCGCTGATCCAGATCAGACATGGGCATGGTGTTTGCTGCCCCCCCTCCAGTCCGTTGCGTCTCCCTCCGGTGTTTGGCTATGTGTCTTTTTGTTTCGGATTTCAGGTCGAACCACTTCTTCCTGACCTCCTCTATGCTGCGTCCCTCTCCTGAGACCGCATCCACCGCACGCCATACTGCCTCCCAGGCCTCCTTCTTATTAGTATTAGTGCAACCTGTACTGAGGCTACTGAATAGAGTCTTCTTCCTCCTCGTGACCTCCAGCAGCAGGACTTTGAGTTCTGAACTGCTGAAGTTCTTTTTCCTCTTCACTGGCTGCGCTCCAACGGACTTGCTCTTCGCTTTTGGCATTTTGCTGTTTCCTGAGTGGGGTCTGCACACGGCCCTGCAGTCCCTTTTATGGGCATTAATGGGCGGTTACTTATGCTACGTACCTATGCTAATGAAGCACCGGACACGCACGCTCTACTTACGAGGAAATGGGATTCATCAATCTGAGTGAACAGCTGCGAACAATTCAGAGGTTTACGAGTGCGTTGATGAATCTCACGTAGGGACTTCTTAAAAATCTACTTAAGGACAACTTGAGAAGAAATTTGAGAAGTTTCTTATGAAGTTATTCGTGAATAAGGCCCAATATTGGTTATGGTTGAGTTAATATAATTAATGATTTACTGACAATGGGCCTCATTCACAAATCTTTCTAAATAACAAATTTGTACGTAAATCCTACTTACGAGGATTTTATCCAGAATTTCTCTGAGGTACAAATCCTACGAATGCTCAGGAGCCTCTTAAGCGCATCAGTGCTGACATGTTCGCACGCTGGTGTTATGAAGTTCAATAAAACACAACATTACAGTGATATGTCATGTTGATTTATATTTATTGATTTAATTGTTTATGGTAATTTAGCCTATTTTTTAATTCATTTTGAAATGAAATGTGCCAACGCTTTATCAAATACATTGGAAATCTTGCCGTGTATTAGTGACCCCATCCTATGGGGGCATTTCTTTATCCACAGGCCCCAGAACAATGGCATATATACTGCTGCTGCAGGAGGCTGCAGGGTCCGCGCTGAGTCTCTGCACTGGTCTCTCCCATGGATCCATTACAGGACCGTGCTGGTCTCTCCAGTCTATGCGGTCTCTCTTCGGTCCACACTGGTCTCTGTGCGCCGGTCTCTCCAGTCTATGGTTGCTCCAGTCTGCAGTCTTTCCTCGGTCCGCGCTGGTTTCTGTGTGCTGGTCTCTCCAGTCTATGGTCTCTCCTCGGGTCTGCAGTGGTCTCAGCGCTATAGTCCACGCTGGATCTCCTCCCAGGGTCCAAAATATTTTGAGATTAATCTCATAACATTTTGAAATTAATTTTTTAATAAATACATAATATATTTTTTAATTAATCTCATAACATTTTTAGATTAATCTCATAACATTTTTAGATTAATCTCATGATTTTGCTAGTTCGACTTTAATCTCATAATATTTCGACTTTAAGTAAGTCAACATTTTATGACTTTATTCTCAGTCTGACAAAAAAAGTAAAACGCATGAGTCTTTTGCTCCCTGTAACTCTTTGCTTGAGGCCTGTTTCTGTTTCCTCTGCCGTCTGCACACGGCCCTGCAGTCCCTTATATGGGCATTAATGGGCGGTTACCTATGCTAAGTACCTATGCTAATGACACACCTGACACGCTCTGCTTACGAGGAGTTGGCATTCATCAATCTGAGAGAACAGCTGCGAACAATTCAGAGGCTTACGAGCGCGTTGATGAATCCCACGTAGGGTCTTCTTAGAAATCTACTTAAGAACGACTTGAGAAGAAATTTAAGAAGTTTCTTAAGAAGATATTCGTGAATGAGGCCCAATGTTAGTTTTGATGTAATTTACATAATTAGTTATGATTTATTAACAATATTAGTTATGATTTAATTAATTTTAATATTAATGGTTAATAAAACTAGTGTAGTGTATAATTAGATAATGTCCTTGTCGTCTATAGTCTAGTTAGAGGTAGAATCTTTCATCTCATCCTCGAAGATCTCATTGTGTAGATCCGAGCTCTAGGTTGTGAGATGAAAGATCCAACCTCTAACTAGACAACAGACAGCTGAATAACCTTTCTCTACTTTCACACATAAACATTAATAATTAAACGCTCAATAACATGCTATACAATGGAAATACTATGACTGAGCAAATACAAATGCATAACGACTTTATTTTTAACGAGGCAAAGCTCCATTGATTTGTGCATAGGCCGTTCTCTTAAACATCTAAAACATCTTTTATGTTCCAATAAAGTGGCAAAAGTTTTTATTCTCATACAAAACAAAGTTAAGGCACTAATTTAAAGTGCATCAAACAAAAAGGATTTTTTTTAACACAAAATTGAGTATTTTACATTCAGCCCTGTATGGCTGCTATATTACTCTCCCAGGAGGAGATGGCATCTCCTGTTGGCAAAGTTTGTTCTTGAGCATTTGCATTTTGTTCTACAGCTTTTTATCATCCAGTCTCATAAGCACTCTCTTGATGAATTCAAATGTGTAGCACAGCGTTCTTGGACTTAGATTAAGGCAATAAATCAGTCCAAACAAAAGTAAATCAGTCCAAACAAAAGTAAATCAGTCCAAACTATCTGTTCACCACATCTCCAAGATCCTGCAGGACAATGCATCTGTCAATCACAACACCAACATCTTCAAGGGAGTCACCGAGGGACTTTATAAACGCCCATTTCAATCGTCTCAAGTTCCTCATTCCTGATCATGTTGAAATCCTGACCGCGGTGAAGTTGGTTTCACGTTGGACGTTGGATATTCGCCTCCAGCACTAAGATCGTTCGAACTTAGGGACCGTCTATGAATTACTGTCTTTGTAAAAAGGCGTTGGTTTAAAAAAAATAATGTAGGTGTAAATCAATAATGTGATACAAATAAACAATTTTAATGAAAGGAGATAGATTAAATGTAATCTTTAGGTGTATTTTCTACCGCATTTAATATTATAGTATTTTATACCTACTGTTGAATGTAGCCTATATATTTTCAATAAGCCTATATTCGGAATCATGTGAACCAGCAAAGTAAATAATATTTACCACACGTTTTTATTCCTATTTTCATGTTTTGAAACTTTAGAAAAATCATAATCCTGGAAAATCACCAAAAAATACAATATTTTTTTCAATAGGTTTATGGTTATGTGACCCAGTCACCCCAAACCACTTTACAAAATTAGTACTACCTCTAGGCTATGGGGCTCAGGCCATGAAATTATGCTTAATAGATTTGGTGTATTTTTCAAGGATTTTTGATTGAAAGTATGGGTTTTTCCTCAATAGCTTTTAAGGCATTTGACCCAGTCACCCCAAAACACTTTACAAAATTAGTACTTCCTCTAGGCTATAGGGCTCAGGCCATGAAATTATGCTGAATAGATTTGGTGTATTTTTCAAGGATTTTTTATATAAAGTATGTTTTTTTCCTAAATAGCTTTTAGAGCATTTGACCCAGTCACCACAGAATACTTTACAGAATTAGTACTACCTCTAGGCTATGGGGCTCAGGCCATAAAATTATGCTTAATAGATTTGGTGTATTTTTCAAGGATTTTTTTATAGAAAGTATGGGTTTTTCCTCAATACCTTTTAGAGCATTTGACCCAGTCACCCCAGAATACTTTACACAATTAGTACTTCCTCTAGGCTATGGGGCTCAGGCCATGAAATTATGCTTAGTAGATTTGGTGTATTTTTCAATGATTTTTTTATATAAAGTATGGGTTTTTCCTCAGTACCTTTTAGGGCATTTGACCCGGTCACCCCAAAACACTTTACAAAATTAGTACTACCTCTAGGCTATGGGGCTCAGGCAATGAAATTATGCTTAATAGATTTGGTGTATTTTTCAAGGATTTTTAATAGAAAGTATGGGTTTTTCCTCAATAGCTTTTAGAGCATTTGACCCAGTCACCCCAGAATACTTTACAAAATTAGTACTTCCTCTAGGCTATGGGGCTCAGGCCATGAAATTATGCTGAATAGATTTGGTGTATTTTTCACGGATTTTTTTATATAAAGTATGGGTTTTTCCTCAATACCTTTTAGAGCATTTGACCCAGTCACCCAAGAATACTTTACAAAATGAGTACTACCTCTAGGCTATGGGGCTCAGGCCATGAAATTATGCTGAATAGATTTGGTGTATTTTTCACGGATTTTTTATATAAAGTTTGGGTTTTTCCTCAATAGCTTTTAGGGCATTTGACCCAGTCACCCCAAAACACTTTACACAATTAGTACTACCTCTAGGCTATGGGGCTCAGGCAATGAAATTATGCTGAATAGATTTGGTGTATTTTTCAAGGATTTATTTATATAAAGTATGGGGTTTTTCCTCAATAGCTTTTAGGGCATTTGACCCAGTCACCCCAAAACACTTTACAAAATTAGTACTACCTCTAGGCTATGGGGCTCAGGCAATGAAATTATGCTGAATAGATTTGGTGTATTTTTCAAGGATTTATTTATATAAAGTATGGGGTTTTCCTCAATAGCTTTTAAGGCATTTGACCCAGTCACCCCAGAACACTTTACAAAATTAGTACTACCTCTAGGCTATGGGGCTCAGGCCATGAAATTATGCTGAATAGATTTGGTGTATTTTTCAAGGATTTTTAATAGAAAGTATGGGTTTTTCCTCAATAGCTTTTAGAGCATTTGACCCAGTCACCACAGAATACTTTACAAAATTAGTACTTCCTCTAGGCTATGGGGCTCAGGCCATGAAATTATGCTGAATAGATTTGGTGTATTTTTCAAGGATTTTTTATATAAAGTTTGGGTTTTTCCTCAATAGCTTTTAGGGCATTTGACCCAGTCACCCCAGAATACTTTACACAATTAGTACTTCCTCTAGGCTATGGGGCTCAGGCCATGAAATTATGCTGAATAGATTTGGTGTATTTTTCACGGATTTTTTATATAAAGTATGGGTTTTTCCTCAATAGCTTTTAGAGCATTTGACCCAGTCACCCCAGAATACTTTACAAAATTAGTACTTCCTCTAGGCTATGGGGCTCAGGCCATAAAATTATGCTTAATAGATTTGGTGTATTTTTCAAGGATTTTTTTATATAAAGTATGGGTTTTTCCTCAATAGCTTTTAGAGCATTTGACCCAGTCACCCAAGAATACTTTACAAAATGAGTACTACCTCTAGGCTATGGGGCTCAGGCCATGAAATTATGCTGAATAGATTTGGTGTATTTTTCACGGATTTTTTATATAAAGTTTGGGTTTTTCCTCAATAGCTTTTAGAGCATTTGACCCAGTCACCCAAGAATACTTTACAAAATGAGTACTACCTCTAGGCTATGGGGCTCAGTTCATGAAATTATGCTTAATAGATTTGGTATATTTTTAAAGGACTTTTGATGGAAAAGTGTTATTTTTTTAACTCAATAGCTTTGAATGCATTTCACCCAGTGGCCCCAAACCAGTTTACAAAATTATCTCTGGGAAACCATGCACATCTTTTTGTTCACCAATAGTACTATATCAGAATTTTTGAAAAATCAAACACTGTGTTTTACAGTAGATTATCAAGTCGCACAAGTTAGTTTATACTAATATTAATAACCATATTCTGCTGCCACACACAAAACTCTTTTTCTGATTTTGGAATAGTACACTTTTGGAAACTCAAAATGTCAGAACACAGACTCTAAAGCAGAACACAGGATCAAGTTTAAATATGTATTTGAATCACATAATCAGTGGGGGAATGTAGTGAGCAGAGAAGGCTGGACCAAGGATCACAGACTGACAATACTGGACTGAGGAATACAGGTGAGTTTACAGAGTAGCAGACTCACCTGTGGACGACACTGGATAGGGTACCACAGGTTAGTAGCAGACAAGACTGAACAAAGGACACAGGTTTTTATTGAACCATTTTGAAACATTAGAATTTATGAAAAACACCAATGTGACCCGAATCTAATTCACAATTGTCTAATCGTTCACAACTTAGTTTCTATCTTTTAAAACAAATACACACAATAAATTGAACACAACAAATGTTTTTTATAACACTTATAAGCATCAAAAAACAAAACTTTGAATCATGTATATAAATTAAATAAGCATATGTGTGTAGTTTCTTCTAAAAGCTGATATAACCCTGGGTTGTGATAAAATCGAAATTGTGACTAAGGCAAAAGAAAATCCTGATAATTTATTTATTCAAATAATTTGTTAAACACTTCATTTGCACACAAGGCACTTCCATTCAACTTCGCCAGCTGCCTTTTTTACGTCCTTGGTTGAGAGTCCAATACAGTCCGCATGATACCAGCGGTCACATGTGTCACACTGAATCTGTCATAATGCAAAGCAAGAAAAGTTAATCACAGCTGAATAATTTGTTTTTAATATGTGCAAGAGTCGTTATGGTTTGCTTTTAGTTGGTGGTTTACAAAAGCAAAGCCTAATTCTGGCAAACTATAAGGACATCGCTGAATGTGATGCTACATTGGAGGGAAAAGCATTATCTTTTTCATATTTTTCTCTTCGGGGCTTAGGTACATATATACATAGGATGATATATTATGTCTAATATAAAAAGTATGTTACCGAAAATGTTTAAGCTACTTCATCCTAGTCAGCACATCTATTTAGCCCCTTAACTGCCGTCTCCCCTGATCAGGGGGCTAGGGTTATGGTTAGTTAACCCTAATCAGGATGTAATTAGGGTTAAGAATGGCAAATGTTACGTAAGTTGTGTTTCACTAACACAGATTTTTATAAAATATAAGGTCTTGGCTTTCAAATTTGGTATCACACTGGCATATAGACTGTAAGCTGTCCAGTCAATACGCTTCGAGACTTGGATGGAAATAATTGTTAACCTTAACCCTATGGTCGCAGTTAAGTTAAACGAGTTTCTGTGACTAATAATTTCAAAGCATTGCCACAGGGCAAACACAAGCAGGCAATATCCAAAGCACAGTCATGGGCAAGAGCCCATTACAGGATCAGAAGTGCCCATCAAGTGCAGCGCCACTAGCAGTCTCTCCCAATAGTGCTCAGACATTCAGAGCTGACAATGCCATTAGATCTTGAAAAGGATGCAAATTGAGACTCTTGACAGTTACAACTTAGTGTTCTAACAAAAAATGTAATGTACCTTTTTGCACCCCTGAAGAACTGGACTTGCATTATAGAAGCTTAAACTCCAATCATTTCACAAAGGCAAACTCTAAAGTTATGAAATCAGAATATAATCATAAACTTACCCACTCAACTTTACAAGCTGATATTGGTGTTTTTTTGGACGCGCACATCACGCACCAAGAATCATTTTGAAATACTATGAAATTATAGCTTGAATTAAGTCAAACAATTACACTTTTCATAATATACATCTTCATTTTTTTACTACCTGATCCTTGGAGAAGGTCAAAAGCCAGCAATCGCCTCCCTTTAATCATATGTGCTCTTGTTGTGCTGAAGCTGAACTCGGGAATTTCCGGGAAATAATGTATTATTTCTTTTGCCATCTAAACATAAGCAATTAAGAAGAATCACTTTACACCTAGATAATAATACGTTATCACAATTGTTACCATGGCGACAACCACTCCACAGCTGTTTCCGTCTTGCTGGCAAGGATGTTTCAGCACCCCACCCTCCCAGTTGATGTTTGCCCAATCTGAATGTTGGTGTTGCCTTCTCATGTTGAGGTATTCTCTGCACACACATTTATTTTTTTGAATTTGGTCAACTTCACAATATTATTAGTAGAGGTAACTTACTTAAATTTGTCAGCTGCCTTTTCAGATGCTTCCATCTCCGGAGCATTTTTAAAAGGGTCTATTAAATAGACCTTTTTTTCAGCTGCATGTACAAACTGAAAAAAACAAAAAACATTGCAATTCAGTTAGTTGGTCCTTAAAAAAATTTAAATTAAATTTAAACTTTAAAATACAAACCAGTAAGTTCCAATGGTTATTGTTTACATGAACAGCCGAGAGAAGACAATCATAGCTTGCAAACTTAACCTGCAAATAATAGGTACATAAATACTATACATATGTATTTTTACCAGGCTAGCTTGGCCATTGCACTCATACAAAACATTGCCCTCGACTTCCCCTGCCCACAGCAACTGCCTGTGTCTCCATCCACATACACAGGACAGTAAACGGAGACAGGGACTTGCCCATGTGGACAGTGTTTTACAGTTGCAAAAATTGTCCCTCTCCACAGGACATTCGCTATATTGTCCCAATTATTGGGAATTCTGCCTTGACTCGCATATTAACTAAAGTGACATCCCATTCTTGATACGATACATAGGGTTTAACCCCTTAACCCCAAGTGTTACAGAAGAGGCTTCAACACCGCAGAGGTCTGCTGTTCACCTCAAAGCCACCAACAACTACAAATATGTTTTATGTTGATCTTTTTATGTGATATTTTGTAATGATGTTTGTGTGTGTTTTTTGATTGATTTGTGCTGTGCTGAAAGACAAATTTCTGCTCTTTGGAACAGACAATAAAGTTCTATTCTATTCTATTCATGATTTTACCTGCAGGGGAGAATAGCTCTCAATAGAGGGGAGGGACTAGGCTAAGATCAAACTGCTCCCTGTGGTCTATATCTGGCTGCAAGCTGAGCTACAACTTGGTCCGCTGACAAAGCCTTTTGGATGAGGCGAAACGTTCGACACTTCAACTACCGGGTACAGAAGATGACTCAAGAACCTTCATTGAAGATTGACAAAACCTGTACGACTGGGAGCATATACGGCCATTCCTTAACTGTTCACACAAAGTTGAACATACAACTGTTCAAATTCTGTTGGTGCTGAAAAAATCAGAGTTCCTTTAATTGGAATTTAAATGTACGTGAAACATTTCAGAGATGGCTCCTTCATGTTCCAACATGATTGTGCTGCAGTGACAAAGCCAGGTATACTTTTTCAAAGGGATCCACAGGAGCTGATATGTGGATTGATAAATGGACTGCTCCCATCAGGCCAAGGGCATTGACACAACTGACAGTGAGTTTTTCACAACCCATTTCTGTGATTGGCTGGTGCAAAATATCATTCCACTTATTAATACAGAGTAAATAAGCGAAATAGGCAACAAGTATTAGTTATGTGAGAACAATATTAATTATACATTTCATGAACAACTTTTACCTTGGACAAAAGGTTTCTCTGGACCTGGCTATTCTGTCCAAACAGCATGACCCCGGCCGTATAATGATCCATCAAATATATGTGCTTCCCACCTTTTTGGTGGACAGCAAGGTGCAAGATACCCTCAAGGACCTGATGGAATTAAATACATTAAAAATATATATATATATATATATATATATATATATATATATATATATATATATATATATATATATATATATATTATATATATATATATTATATATATATATATAATTATATATATATATATATTAAAGTTTGTATGCACCTCTCCAACCAGCCATGCGTGTGGCTTGAGGGTCTTCAGCTCATAGTGGCGTATTAAAATGCTACTTGCAGTTTGTGCGGGAATGGCAGCCACAACTATATTTGTTCCTGGCCTCCTCCACAATGATGTTAGCTGTAGAAAATCAAGATATTCACATTATTTAGTGAAAAACATACAAAAGTAATAACATAATAATAATAACCTGTGCTTCAACATCACTGCGTGAGTCTTCTTGAACACTTTGAGTTGGGGTCTTTGGTCTTGGCCATGTGCCAGGAGGGTTAAAATATTTTGATCTTTGTTTTCTCCCTGACCTCATGCGTTTCTTCCAGCTCTCCTGGGGGTCATCCTTAGGTGTACTTGTTTCTTTACTGGATTTATACAGGATTTTAAGTGGTAACTGATGCTCTTTAATATGTTCCACATATCGACCCTGCAGTGACGAGAACATTACACGGATAAAATCTGCTATCCGTAAGTGTAATTTTCTCAATAAAATGGAGTTCTTCACCAGCCAGAACCAAAGCTCGACATGGCAGTTAGTATCCCGGTTCTTTTGTGGAGCGGTTGCCTTTACACCTGAGCCCTTATTGTATCTTCCAAGGTCACCCAGTAGTAATCCACTCCACAGTGGGAACAGCCCCATGTACCTTTTGAGCATTAACGCAATAACACCTGGGCAAAACAAACAGTTTGCTTTCCCCGTTTTGCCCTCGGCTAGGATGTCGACTAATGCCTTTTCCCTCTGCACAGTAAACTCCACCGTGAACGGAGAATCAGCCACAATCTTTCTGGACTTTTTCTCAGTCACTGCATTCTCCTCGATGTTCTGTGATTCAAGCTCCATTTTATGGTCCTTAATGTGCTCCTCCAAACACTTTTGACTCTCAGTAACAGCATTGTTGTCTTCCTCAGAGAGGAAGACAACACACATATGATAAAATGTTTTCAATGCCGTTTCAAGGCTTGTTGTTGTCTGCAGAGCAGCAAAACAGTAGGTTGCATACTCTTTCATTTGCCTATTTGTTGTTTTATTGCCAATCGCTTGGCTCACAGCTTTGATTACATGTGCTGCACAGAGATGGAGCACAGTGAATGATGCGTGTTTTGAGCCATAGACAAGGGAGTGCGTTTTATGGAGATATGTCTCCATACTTTCATTGTTGAAAGCCAGTAACACGCTATTCATTAATGCCCAACTAAAGTCCGTTTCCACGCGGTTTACTCTCCTCCTTGTGATGAAGGACAGGTCACGGCAAAACTCCATCAGCCAATAATTTATTGAGGGTACAGCATGGTTATTTGTTACCATCTCTGCAACTGGTAGAGGGGGTTTGTTTTTACCCTCCCCAGGTAGCACCAGTGCATAATAAAGGCAACGTTTGCCTTGCTGCACTTTCTTAACCACCCCACCCGTTGCATCCAAGTAGAGGGCCACTGGTCGTCTTTTTAAATGTTCTGCCAATATTTTCAGGCCAGACTCAGTCTGTAGGTGAATGGAGAGAGGTTCTATTTGTAGGCGAGCCAAGTATCCTTTTGATGTGGGGTGACTCCCAGTTTCTTTCAATATTTTTTGTGTGAGCATGAGTTCGAGGAGACTGTCACTGTGAAGGCGCTGGGTCTTTCTCACTTCTGAGGCAATAGTCTTCAAAACATCTTTAGTAAGGCTTTTAGTGAAGTTGCCTGCTAGAATTTCCTCTTTGGACGTTCCTGAAAGTTGAGCATAGTAAAAATTGCTTATGCCAATTTTTAGCGCTCTGGCGATTGCGCCACGCCTCACATATTTTGCTGGGCGAAAATGTCTCTCTTTTTTAGCATGCGTTACCTTTCCCTTTCTTCTCACGGAAAAGTCAATTGTTTTAAGTGACTGTGCTGGTTTCTCTGTCCTTTGAATATAAAACTTGGCTTTGCAGGTTTTGAATGTACACACTGCTGTTGCGGAGAAGTAACCACATGTTTGCTTACGGCTGTGGTTTTTTCGAATATGCTGGTAATTAAATTTTAAAGGACAGCTCGGACTCCGTTTTACTATTTCATTGTAGAAAATATCAGTCCAAGGTGCTCTTAGCTTTGTTGTACCAGTTTTGGGTTTAATTTTTTTCCAATCATTGTTGGTAATGTGGATTTTAAAATTAGGTGGCCCTGCTTTAAAAATTCGTACTTTTTTTTTGAGATTCTTTTTTTTTATTTTTTTTGAAATGGTCTGAGGAGACTTTGGACATGCTGAGGGAGACTGCGGAGGTGGTGAGGACAAAGACTGGGGCGACTGCGGAGGTGGTGAGGACAAAGACTGGGGCGACTGCGGAGGTGGTGA